TCCTGGACTGAAGCCAGCTTCAGCCTCCTCAGCGTCATTCCCATATGCAGTTAATCTGAACTACTAATCTCCTTTCATTCCATCAATTTGAATTTTCTGGACATTTCCAATAAAGGTGATGATGCCGTATGTAGTGTTCTGTGCCCGGCTTCCTTCATGCAGTGTAATGTATCTGAGGCTCAGCCTTTGCTGCAGTGTGTACCGGCATCTCATTCCTTTGTAGGGCTCAATAATATTCCATTCAAAGACATGCCATATTTGGTTATCCATTCATCAACTGATGTACAGTTTGATTGTTTCCAATTTGGATTATGATGAATAATGCTTCTGGGAACTCTGTACAAGTCTTTATGTGGTCATATGTTTTCATTGTTCTTCAGTGAATTGACCCAGGAATAGAACTGCTAGATGATAAAGTAAATTTATATGCAATGTTTAAAGAAGATGGCAAGTTCTTGTCACATTCTCAGCAACTGTGTATGAGGAGTCCTATTTTCCACCAATTTTCCATGCTAGTTGTGAGTCTGTGACCCCCTAGCCTGTCCTGAATGGCACTGACAGCTCAAGGCTGAGCTCCCCTCACAGGCAGAAACACTTACTCCTTCCTGAGTTTCTTTTCTCTCTCTTTAGTCCCAGATGGCCAATAATCTTTTCTTTAAACTGCATCTTGGTGGACTACTACTGCCTTCAGAAGGTGCCTTACTGAGGTGGGTGTCTTTGCGGCACATTCCTATAGTCCTGGCACCCTGGGAGGCTGAGCCAGGACAACTGCAAGTTCAGCGAGTGAGGCCCTACCTGAAAATAAAGGTGGTTCTGAGGGTGTAGCCTAATGCAAAGACGATGATCCAAAGGAAGTAGTGCTTTACTTACCGACCTTCGGATCCTGGGAACTCTGAGAAGGGAGGTTTTGTGGGGAGGAATAGCTGGCCCCTGAAGCCAGCAGAGGGCCCCAGGGAAGCTGAGGCCTGGGTGGCAGCAGTTCAACGGTAGTAATTTCTTGGTATGCTGCACAGGCTCGCCCTTGCGCGCAGGAGCTGACTGCTGTCTGCAGGATTCTGTGAGCTGGTTGTGGAGCTGCGCGCCCAGTGTACACACCCTTACCAGTAAGATTTATAAGAGGTGTGCACATGTTTCTCTTGTGCTGGATGTCAGGCCCCTCCCAGCACATCACTGGTGAGCTGCAGGAAATGGTAACTCACGGTGACTACTGGTAAATGGGCAGCAGTGAAGTCAGTGCTCAACTATAACCTGCAGCCGATACAGAGCTGCTCAGCGGCCTCTTGGGGAGTGCGTGTGGGGCTTGGAAAGTTCTTTCAAGAAATCAATTCCTTTCACCTGCGTTATCTAATTAGGGGACACAGCACTCCTTGTAGAATTCCCTGATTAACCCTGCACTGTCTGCAAGGTCAGATGACTGCCTGAAACTTCCTACTGGTGTTTTCATATGTTCTTTGTCTCTTTTCTTTCTGACAGTCTGGCTATGGTCGTCACAGTTTTGTTTTCAAAGAATTAGGTTTTTCAGTGAACATCCACCCAGTTCCCAGTGACAAGAGAGGACTCTCACTTTGTCCAAACCAATCGCAGTGATTTTCCTGAATGACTGCATAGGTCTAGGAAGTGGGGCTGCATTGGTGTGGGACAGGATCAGGTCAAAAGAAGGACCCGACCCCTCTGGATGTAAAATCTCTGTTGGGAACCACTCAGACTACTCAGGGGTCTCTAAGGACACCTGAAGATGTGACCCTACTTGTCTAGCACAGGCATACAGTTACATAACCGTAACTTAGCACAGTAAACACACATGTGCTGACTGCAGCTGTAGAGATACAGATGTGAGACAAAAGCCTGATGTCCCAAGAGAGCAGGGAACAATAGACAGAGCCCAAGGAGGGTAGCTGTCTGTTTGCAAATTTCCCGGAAAGCTGGGACCCAAAGCAGCAGGTAACAGCTTCTCCTGCAGGCGCTCTGTCCTTTGATCCCTTGCTTGGGATGTTATGGGCTAGCATTTGGGTGAACCTAGTGTTAGGCAAATGGGGGAAGTCACTAGAGATAGTAGTTTGTGTTCACCAAAGTAATTATGCACATTCCTTAGCCTGCCTTGAGCCCTCAGTAAATGTGAGATGCTTCTGAGGCTCGGGGCTCACTTGGAGAGAGACTAATCTCGGTGAGACCTCTGAAGCTACATGCATTGGGTCTTTTCATTGTTTCTTTCGGCACCGACCCGTAACATACAACAGCAGCTCTCTGCAAGATTGTAAATATGTGATAACAACCTGTATAGAATTATACAAGAAAGACCCAGGCAGCGCTCACTCCTGAGCTTTCTGCTGTGCTCCACACTGCCTGCTGTTGTTGGCCTGTTGTTGCTGATGTCTTGCACACATGCATTCTTTTTAAAAATTAATTATTAATTAATTAAGTACAGGGTCTCCCTACACAGCTCAGACTCATAGTGATCCTCCTGTCTCAGCCTTCCCAGTACTGGGCTTATAGGCAAGTGCCACCTCACCCAGTTCCACGGCCAGCACGGCATAAGGTACTAGGGATCAAATCCAGGCCCTTGTGCTTGCCAGGCAGGCACTTAGACTACTGAGCTATCTCCCCATCCCCATGTGTACATTCTTTAACCTTAGGACCTCACCCTTGAAACCTGCCCGTGGGTCCTCCAAGCAGGCCTATAATCCCCCTCTGAAGATACAGAATCAGAAGTTATGATGTTGTAGAAAATGCATATTTTATTTCCTAAGTAACTAAACTCACTGAACTAAAATTATGTCTCAAATATGTCATCTTGTACATTAACTATCTGACATTCAAGAATATGACACCCTTACTTGGTGCTGAAATCTTTTGCCTACTGTGAAGAATATATCATTCCGTATAGGAGATTCTTCAAAAGTAACGAGAGCAGTGTTCGCTAGCCTCACAGGGGTCAGCTGGCCCCATCACCCCAGCTGTGAGGTGGCTGCATCAGCCTGACCCTGAAACCAGGCTTTTCCCAGGAATCAGACAGACATCCAGGGAAAATGCTGGCCTTGAGCTCCCCCAGCAGGTGGCTCCAGGTTCTCTTGGGTACAGAGGTGGAAGTTAGCTTAATTCCATCACCACGGCTGTACAAAATGACCAACCCAGAGTCAGGAGAGCAGGTGGCTGGGCGTGCCCTTGGTGTTTCTGTGACAGTGGGGACACCTGTGACAGGGTGGTCTTGGTTACTTGTTGCTGAGACAAAATGCCGGGCACCCAAAGCTAAAGGGGGAAAGGTTTATTTAGCTCACAGTTTGTAGAGGTTTCAGTTCATAATCAGCTGGCTCCAAGCAGCGGGGCATGGCAGAGGGATGTCACAGAGCAGAAACAGTTCATGGTGGGCAGAAAGCAGCACAGCAAAGAAAGGGCAAGACAAGCCTTTCTGTCCCTTATATTGTATCCAGGGTAGGGGGATTAGGGAAACCAATCAATGGGCTGATTTAGTAACCACTCACCCTAATCCTAGCACCCTTAACCCTAGCATGGCACCATGAATCAATCAATGACGTATTCTGGGTTTAGCCACCTCTAAAAAAGCCCCACCTGTGACTTCATGATGCTTTGGGGGACATCTAGACACAGACCATAACAGGGACACCTGTGATGTCCTCGTACCCTTGATGCCACGCACCTGTGACAGCGGACTTACATGTGATGCAGCACACCAATGATGGTGGACTCACCTGTGACTCTGCACACCTGTGACCGAGAGGCAGCGGGAACACCTGTGAGGGGAAGGAAGCGCCACTGATGCCATGCGTCTGTGACAGTGGACTCACCTGTGATGCTGGACTCACCTGTGATTGCACTCCTCTGACCGTGGGGACCCTTATGATGGGGAGGGGAGCCCATGACGGTGATGGTGGGCGCACCTGTGACAGCCCGTGGCTCCCAAGCTGACAAACCCCTTCCTGGGTCAGTGCCCAGACGGGTGCTGCACGTTCGTGGCAGCAGACATCCTTGAACTCCTCCTGCATTAGAAAAAGAGCTCTCAGAGGCCTTGACGGGTGGTCGCTGTAGCTGGGATCACATGGAGGTGACAGGTGAATAACCAAAGAAGCCAG